TGCGCGACGCGACACGCAACACGTAGCGTGTCGACACGGAACTGAACGACGCAGACTGACGCGCAGGTTCGGCGCGATACGTTCGCCCAGGCGTGGGCCAACACGTGCCGACCCAACACGCAGCGCGTTAACACGGACGCTTTGAACACGGCACGTGTTGCACTTCAGCACGGGCGTATCAGGGCAGCAAACACACACACACACACTCTTTGGCGTCGCGGTCACGCGCGCAGCGGCGCCGCGGAGCCGAAGCCGGGCGAAGAGGAGCGCGCGGCTGGCCCAGATCACGCGGCGTGGAGGTATTGGACCCGCCCGGGGGATCAACGGCATCACTCGCGAAGGGGCAGTCGCGAGGGGAGCAGCGGGGGTGATTGGGGGGAGAGGGCGACCGGGAGAACGTACCCAGAGCGTGCCGAGAAGTGCGCAGTCCAGGGCGAAAGGAGGGCACGCAGTGGCGGACCGCCACGACGGAGCGCGAGGAAACGAGGCGACAGGCAGGAAAAGGTCCCGAGAAACACAAACCTACAAACACACCCGCACACAAACACACGCACACACGCACACACGCGCGCACCCACACAAACCCGCACACACACACCCACACACACACACACACACACACACGCGCGCACCCACACACACACACACCCGCACACACACACACACACACACCCGCGCACACACACCACACACACCACACACACACGCACACACATACACCACGCACACACAATTACACACACAGGCGCGGCACCAGCACGCACCCGCACACACACACACACACACACACACGCACACACACTCACACACACAACACACACACGCGCCCGCGCACCCGCACACACCCGCACACACATACACACACGCGCGCGCGCACCCGCACACCACACACAGAAACACACATACACACATACACACACACACACACACAAACACACACACGCGCGAACCCGCGTACACATGCGACCACACACACACACACACACACGCGCGCACCCGCACACCACACACACACGCGCACACACACACGCACACACATACACACATTCACACACACGCACACACCCGTGCGCACCCACACACACACCCGCACACACACACACTCACACGCGCGCACCCGACCACTCCGGCACACACACACACACACACGCGCGCACCCACACTCACATGCACACACACCCACAATTACACACACACATACGCGCGCGCGCTCATAAACACACCCGCGCACACACACACATATGCGCGCGCACCCGCAAACACACACACGCACACACAAAACACACATACACACACGCGCGCGAACCCGCACACACACGCACACACACACACACACACGCACGCACACGCACACACGCGCGCGCACGCACACACACACACACGCCACACACACACACACGCACACACAATCACACACACACGCGCGCGCGCAGCCGCACACCACCCGCACACAAACCACACACACACACCACACACACGCACACCACACACACACACACACGCACGCACACACACAAACACACACATACACACGCACACACCACACACACACGCACACGCACGCGCACACACACACAAACACACACGCACACCCACACACACACACACACACACACACACGCACACGCACACGCACACACACACACACACGCACACGCGCACACACACACACACGCAAACACGCGCACCCACACACACCCGCACACACGCAGGCGCACCCTCACACACCCGCACACACACAACCACACACACACACACACACACACGCACTCACCCACACACACCCGCACACACACACACACACACACACACACACGCACACGTACACACACGCACACACACACACACTCACAGACTCGCGCGTATCCCTTTCGAAATGGTGACAGCACTCGTTCCGCTTGGCTGCGGAAAGCTTCTGCTGGGCCGAACGCCCGAGCTTCTCGTGGGCATGGTCGGCCACCTCCGCGTCGCCCGCGCCGCTCAGGGCCTTAGGCCACAGTTTGCTCACGCGGCCGTGTGCCTTGAGGTCTGCCCTGTGCAACACTTGCGCCGCGCGCAGGACTTCCCTGGAGGTATTCGCACCCTCGCGTGCAGCAGCAGCAGCAGCAACGGCATCATCATGATCACCCATCACCAGTAATCAGCATCATCATTAACAGCATCCTCCTCCTCCTCATCATCATCGTCCTCATCCTCATCACTGTCATCACCAATGGTACCATCAACACCATCAGCAGCATTATCGTCGTCATCAGCAAAGCCAGCATGATCATCAGCAGCAGCATCCGCATCCGCATCAGCATCAGCATCATCAGCATCATCATCATCAGCATCATCACCACCATCATCACCGTCACCAGCATCATTGCCATCGTCATCATCACCATCAGCAGCAGCAGCTGCTGCAGATGCAGCATGCTCAGCATCGACATCATCATCATCACCACCATCGCCAACAGCAACAACCACAACATTATCGTAGTCATACTCCTCATCGTAATTATCATGAGCATCATCATCATCACCTTCATAATCATCATCACCACCATCAGCATCATCATCAGCAGCATCATCATCAACAGCACCATCATCACCCGATTAACATATGGTTCATCATCACCTCACTATCCATATCCATATCCATCTCAATCTCAATCTCCAACTCCATCTTCATCATCACCCCCCCCCATCCTTGCACACATGTGTCTCACCCTGCCCCCAGTACATCCCCCGTCTTTGCAGCATCCGCGCCGCGGCCTTGACAGCGAGCAGCCTGCGGCTGGTCTCGTCACCTCCCACTGCCGCGGCGCCATAAAGGGAGGAGGTGGTGGCGAAGGATGGGGAAAGGGCGAGAAAGGGGATCTAGGACGATACTGATGTCATGGCAAGATTGTCTCAGGATGCGTTCGAGCAATTCTGGAGTACACTAGCAGACCTCGTTGCTGAAGCCCGTGTGGGACGTTCGGAAGTATGGTAAATTTTGGAAATATTGGAGCGTGGAAGAATGGGGAGCAGGAGGAGGGGCAAGAGGGAGGGGGGGGAGGAGGAGCAGGAGGAGGAGGAGGAGCAGGAGGAGGAGGAGGAGGAGGAGGAGGATTCACCAAGGAATCGCCAAAACTTCAGTCCTGCCTGTGCCGTGCAGAGGGGACCTGCTGGGCCACGGGGGACGCCCCCACTGGCCACCCGTAGCCGGGATGCCCCGGCACGAAAAGCCCGCGCAGCGCCCGACGCCGCGCGCTGGCGCTGCCTCGCTGGCGGAGGGCCTCGCGGGTCGGGTGGAGGCGACCCGGACCCCTTCCCGCCAAGCCACCAGCAGAGGTCCGCCGCGTGGCTCAACGACGCAGTGCCCCAACCTGCCCCTGCGCAGCGCGGCGGAGGGGCCGTGCCGCCTCCGCGCGCGCGCGCCCCCGCGGCCGACAGGGGTGCCCCGGGGGGGGGAAAGCGCCAGGCAGGAAGAGGCCAGGGACCCCGAGCCAGGGGGGGAACCCTGGCAGCGGGGGGCATCCCGACCCTGTCCCTCCCCACGCCCCACTCACCCCAAGGGGCCCCCGCGGCCGGCGGGGGCGCTGTCCCCAAAACGCCCCCGCCGCCCTCCGCCTTCTACGGCAAGTCCCCGGCCCTATTTCTATCCCGCCCAGGCAGGCGGCAGTCGACAACTAAGGGTTCCTCGACCATCCCGGTGTGCTCACCAGGCCCCCGGCTTATGCGGGGGGGGGGGGGGGAGAGAGAGGAGGAGGAGGAGGAGGAGGAGGAGGAGGAGGAGGAGGAGGAGGAAGGAGGAGGAAGAGAGGAAGAGGAGGAAGAGGAGGAGGAGTAGGAGGGGGAGGTGCAAGAGCAGGAGCAGGGGGAGGGGGAGGAGGTTCCAGGATCGAGAGGGCAATGCCAGGATCGACACTTCAAGGGGGTGGGAGCGACGGGACTCGGGGGGGTCGTCCGGCCAGCTGGCGCCAGGCCCAGACACGCCCGCGCCCTCGAGACGTGGCTGGGGACTAACAGGACGCTGACGCTGTTAGGGGCCTCCTAGACGGGGTCCGAGCAGATGGGCTCGGGCGCCGTATCGCCAATGCATCGCCGATGCGTGGAGCCGGGGAGCCTGCAGGTGGCGTCAGGAGCCGCCCACCACTTCTCCATCGGGGCGCGCCAGTGGTTCGCGCCGCCAGCACCAGATACGAGCAACACACCATATTCCAAGCAAGTACCACCCGGCATTCTACATCTCGATGGCATCCCACGAGGGGCGGCCTTCACGCAGAGCGTGATGGACGGGCGGGGACGCGAGGACCGGCTCCACCGAAGCCTCCAGCAAGGGGTGCCACGCAGCAGTGGGCGGACTTCGCATTGACAAGAACAAGGCGCTCAACCTCCTGGAAAACTGCCGCAACCAGCCACAAGGCGTCCCGAATCCCCAAACCCAGGTCGTCAGCAAGCAGGTGCTCCGACAGCTGATCTCTGAACTGGGGCGTCGGGGCCACCCTGCGAATTGGTTGCCGGTCTGCGTTGTGAACCTGTTGGGGGGCGATGGCGAGAGCCGCCATGCCGCGTCGCGGTCTTGGATCTGAGGGTAGGTTTGGGGGCGGACTCCGCGGCGCTGATGGCTAAGATCAGCGTGTCCCGGGTCACGGTGCTGGTGTCTGATGCACGGTTTCCCCCAGGGCCGTAGGCGACCCGAGGAGGAGGAGGAGGAGGAGGAGGAAGAGCTGGAGGAGGGGGAGGGGGAGGGGGAGGAGGAGGAGGAGGAGAGAGGAGGAGGAGGAGGAGGAGGAGGAGGAGGAGGAGGAGGAGGAGGGAGGAGGAGGAGGAGGAGGAGGAGGAGGAGGAGGAGGAGGGAGGAGGAGGAGGAGGAGGAGGAGGAGGAGGAGGAGGAGGAGGAAGGAGGAGGAGGAGGAGGAGGAGAGGAGGAGGAGGAGGAGGAGGAGGAGGAGGAGGAGGAGGGGGGGGAGGAGGAGGAGGAGGAGGAGGAGGGCACGAAGCTCGGCGAGCAGTTAGATCTGCAGCCTCGCCTATGCTTGCATGCGGTGCAGAGCGGCCAGTCTCACACCAGCCCGTTGGTCCGCTCCAGCGTCCAAGCCCACGTGCATGCGGTGCTTCTGGATGTGGTAGCACTGGCACATTAGGTCGACCGAGTAGATGCAGTCCGTGATGGGTCTCTTTGCGTGGTACTGCTCGTCGCCGAAGCCGAGGAGCTCGGCGCCGTTGCCTAGGGAGTCCGCACCAGCGTCGCCCGCAGTCATCGCCCTGAGGATCGGGCAGACGACGTAGTGCTCGAGCGCGTCCTCCGCGTCGCAGCCGAAGAGGCATGGACGCGCGTCGATGACGGCGCTCATGCGGCGAGATGTCGTCCAGCCGTTGACCGCGGTGCGGATCCACGACCACATCCAAGCAGGGCGGACCTCCGTCAGCTTGCCACGCAGCGGAGGCCACCTCTCGCGCAGCTCGGGCAGCGGGCACTCGACTCCCCACCTGCGCAGCCGACGGTGGATGGTGGCCACCAGGTCCTCGGGGTACAGCGAGCCACGGAGCGAAGCGGCGGCCGTGGCCTGGCGCTTGGGCTTCCTGGTGGGGGTGGCCGCTGCCGCCGTCTTCGTCTCCAGGGTCATCGCCGACTTCGCGATCTTGATGTACCTGCTCGGGATCGGAACCGAGAGCACGTCGAGCGTCGGTCTGGGTATGTCCAACTGGCCGTAGGTGTCCGTGATCATGGCGAAGTTCTGTGCGATCGCCCTCCGCGTCTGCCACCACGGTGGCGACCAGTTGCCCTTGATCGCGTCAATCAGTGGGACGTGCTCCACGGCAGCTTCATGAAGGTGGTGAAGGTGGGCTTCCCATCCGCGAACCGTGTTCTCCGCCGAGCGCATCATCGCCGCGAGCGTGTATGGGAAGAGGCCAATCGGCGACGGGGAACCGCACCACGCGCTCATCGACAGGATGTCAGCCTTGCGCATGGACGAGGGCGGCAGCCGCAGCAGGCGGTGCAGGGAGGTGAACTCGACCTTCCAGATGGCGGGGACAATGAAGTAGAACTGCGCGAGGTACGACAAGCACGGAAGCGCGTTGATGTTGCACGCGCGGGCCGCAAGGCTGGTGGCCATGCCAGTGCGCGCCAGCTCCCAGCATCGGGTCCACCATTTCCCCGCAGCAGCCTTCCAGATGCCGAAGTCCGTGACGCCTGGTCCCAGGTGAGTCCCCAGGTACTTGGCCGTGGAGTCGACGCGGAAGCCCAGCCAGCGGGGGACCTCCTTAGCGAGGAAAGACTTAACGTTCAGCAGTGTGTCCTCCGAGAGCTCCTCCCACAGCGGAACCAGCACGCACTTGTGCAGCGCCAGCTGCAGGTTGAAGGCAAACTCTATGGAGACGAAGGTGCAGTCGATGCTAGGGAGGGCAACAGCGTTCTTGATCAGCATCCCGAGATCGTCGGCGCAAGCCGTGAGGAACCCATGCTCTGCAATCGCAGCCAGCAGCGCGCGGATGGGCGCATCCATTGCCAAGCACCAGACCGTGCCAGAGAGCGGGCATCCTTGCATGATGCCGCACAGGAGCGCGAACAGCGGCTCGAGCTCCGCGCTGGTGCCCTCGGCGCGGAAGGAGCTAAAGGCGAGGCAGTTGCTGTAGAGCGCCGCGACCACGTTGCGGAAGCCCAACGGGACCCCGAAGCGCGGGAGGACCTTCTCGATGACTTCCCTGAAGAGTGAGGGGAAGGCCTGACGGAAGTCGAACGACAGGAACATGGGGCGGCGGGTCGCCGCGTCAGGAAGAAGGCCCTTCCTACGGCATTCCGCGTCCAAGTACGGGATGTGGTCGACGAAGCGCCGCCCAGCAGTGAAGCCCTTCTGCTCGGGTGAGGTAGATGATGTGGCGATGGGCTGGAGCCCGCGATCTGCGCAGGCCGCTATCAGCTTGGCGTCGCAGTTCTTCAGAGAGAGGGTGCGCACCGTGGAGGCCGTGCGCGTGCAGGAGTCGGGGACGTCGTCCTCCTCCGTGCCCTTCGGCACGCAGATGAAGATCGACCAGTTGAGGTCGAGCGGGGCCACGCCGTCGTTGAAGAGGACTTCCATGAGTCCCTGGAGATGCTGCAAGGCTCCAGGGCTGCGGCGCCATGCTGCGTACGTCAGCTGATCTGGTCCCGCAGCGCTCGGCGGGGCCCTACTGGCCGCACGTTCCAAGTCATGTAGAGCTGGTTGAGGTAGTTCCACCGCAGGGTTCCTTGGTGCGTGCTTGTCCAGGAAGGCGTCCAATGCCTTGAGCTGTTCAGAATTCGGCACCTTCGCGAAGATCTCACCCCAGTAGTTCGCCACAGTCGACTTCATGCCCGCGGGGTCGGAGACCGCGCGCTGAGCCACCTGCGAGTCCTTGGCAGCACACGGTGCGGAATCCACGCGCAAGCCCGAGAGGATCATGCGTCGCCGCCACGGAACCCAGAGCTGCGCATGCCTGGCGGCCTTGCGTTCAACCCTCCGCCAGGCTGCGCTGTCGCGCACGTTGGCCGTCCGAGCTGCTGCCTCCGCCGCCTGCCGGCGCAGGGGGTGCACCCGCTCGGCGATGGCGTCGAAGTTGGTGGCGAAGCTGTGGGGGTCCACGAGGCGCAAGGTGCCGTCGGTAATGTGGAGGCGGGCGGCCAGCGCAGGGCAGGAGTCGAGAAGCCTACCTGCCAGGACAGCGTCCTGTCGCCAGACTGCTCGACTTGGAACCCATGTACGAGGTCTCGACCGTGGAGTCCTTGACGTGTAGGGAGAAGTTGGTCCGCAGCTGTTCATCACGAACACGTCGCGCAGCAAGCTTCATGCACTGCTTCGCTGCTCTCCAGCGGCCTTCCGCCGTTTCCCCAGCCAGGGCGCAGTGGTCCAGCATGAGCGTGTAGGTCTCAGGGTACTTCCTGTGGTTGAAGAGGTGCGTCGGGATTGGCTGCTCGTCTCGTGGGATATGACGTGCGGCAGTGATCTGCAGGACGAGGGGCGCGTGGTCGCTGATGCCCTCCTCGGAAAGCTCCATCGCGTCCCTCGCAGTGGTAAGGATCGTCGAGACCGAGAGCATGGCGTGCGCGTCGATGCCCAAGAAGATGCGGTCGATCGTGGACAGCTGCTTGCAGGACTTGTCGTAGTGGGTCGGCCACTGAGACTCCACCTCCATAGCTGCAGCGAATAGACGGCGCCACGCAGGTTGCCGAAGCTGGCAACGGTGATCAGGTCGGAGGCGCCAAGCAGTGGTGTCTGAGGGTGCTCGTTGACTGACTGGCGGGCGGGCAGCTATGTTGAAGTCACCGACGCCCAGGAAGATGCGGTGTAACGAGTCGCGGCGCGCCCACGCCAGGCCACTGGACCAAGTGCGCTGTACTGCAGTGAACTCGTGCGGCTTGAGGTCGTAGTTGTGAATGTTGAAGATCTGCATGCTGTACTTGCCCTCGCAGTCGGCGATCGTGAGGAGCGCCGCGCGGCCGACCGCCACTATGTCGAAGCGGTAGGCCGGAAGAGCAGGTGTGGAGTTTCGTGAACTTGACCAGGTGTTGTTCGGTAGTGGCGTGGATGTCGTGGGAGAACGTCGTGTACTTGACCAGGTGTCGGAGCAACTTGCTGTCGTAGGTGAAGAGGAGGTTCGTGTATTTGACCAGGTGTCTTGAGTCGGTAAGGATGCAGCAGGGGGCGAGGAACACTCAGGGGGTCTTACACGCCTCGCCTCGCCCCCGCCTCCCAGAGATTCTGCTCTGGGTCCATCCGCCCTTGGACTTTCGTCGACGTATCGAGGGGCGAGAAAGGCGACTCCGCCCACGGCAGCGGAAGAGCCAGGCGAAAGGAAGCTCACGTACTTCTGCGGCTGCGACTGGAGAAAAATCCTGAGGGCGTCCTCGGAGCCGTGGACCTCCTGCACGGCGATGATGGCGTTGACCTTCATGTATGTGGCGAGCAGTGCCAACTTGCGTCTGCGCAGCCTCGCGTCCGAGTGGAGCAGGCCACGGGCATTCCACGCGACCAGGTGAAGTCCACGGAAGCCATGCCGTGCGCCAGGAGGGCGCCATGGCGCCCGCAGTGGGCTGCTAAATCCACTCGGTGTTGTCCTCCGTGGAGAAGGCCTTCTTGAACTGCGTGTTGATGGACTCCCTGTCGATGTGCAGCCTGGCGACCATGTCTGGGTTCCACCTGATGATAGCGTCGGTGTAGCGGGATTCTCCCATCTCGAGCTTGGCAACCTTGACGCCCTGAGAGGTGACGATGCCACGGGCCCGCTGAGCACTGAAAGACTGATCAGGAAGAGCTTCTGACAGCAAAGCCGAGAGCTTCCTCGACTGGATCTCCATCCGTACTTGCTGCGGTGACTTGTCAGGCGAGAGGTACAGCGGGACGGCGCCTCCGCCGACGCTCTGCGCGCTGAAGGAGCGCCACCCGTTCCTGCCAGCTGGGTCACGTAGCTGCCGTGCAAGTGCTTGGGCCCGAGGGAGAGCGACACCGTCGCCGCCCTGTACCAAGACGTTGAAGCGCTTGGAGGGGACCGCAGGGTCGATGCGGACCATGTCGTTGGTGAGGCCAGCCGCGCGAATCCACTCCTCCAATCCTTGAAGAGCTTGGGCGGGCCCAACCAACTGCGGCGCCCCAATCGAGAAGATCCGCGGGTTGGGTTGACGAGACCACGCCTCCAGCTCCTGAAAGTCCATGATGGGCAGCTCCTTCTCGGCGAGGGCCAGGGCCTTGTTGATGTCCCCGATCTGCTTGCGCATGGCAGCCTGCTCCGCCTCCAACGCGTCGGCGCGCTGACCGATGGATGCGATGTCGCGCGTCTGGACGGCGAGGGACCTGTTGACAGCCTCCTGCTGGGTCTGGAACATGCGCACCAGCTGCGTCTGGCAGGAGGTGACCTGGGCCATGGGGGTCGCGGCGATGGCATCGGTGGCCTGGCGAATGCAGCTCTGCAGCATGGCCTGCATGTCAATGCCGCCAGCGTCCACAGGAGTGGCCATCCCACCGATAGGAGTGCCAGCAGCAGGTGGTTCAGTGTGTCCATCAGCGGGGGCAGCGCGATCATGCCAAGGGTCCCCGCCAGGGCGTTGCCACGGGCCAGGAGGAGCATGTTGAGGTCCAGCTTGCAGGGTACCAGCGGGCGCTTGATCCACTTGCATGGCCTGGCGCTCCTGCGAGGGGAAGGTGGCCGCCGCCTCGATAGCAGCCGCGAGCTCATCCTGGGCGGCGCGATCGAGTCCTCCAAGTCCAGGGCGCACGCGATCACTGGCCGGCCAGCCCGAGGCATCCGCCTCGCCGTCGGAGCGCGGGTGGCCCCGCCGAGCCCGACGCCGCGCAGGGGCACGCTCGTTCGTGCTGCGGGAGGCCGACCGCAGGTCCTCGGCTGGAGGCTGCTCCTTGCCCTTGTCGCAGCGCCTCCGACCGTCAGCAGCACCAGGGCCGCGATGGCCGCCGCCAGCACGACCCGCCCTGCGCCGCTCCTCATCGGCCGCCATGCACTGCTGGGGAGAGCCCTCGCGGGCGCAAAACTGTGGGTCCTCGCGGGCCAAGCTTTGGCGGCAGCACGCCCTGGGTGTGGCTGCAAAGAAATCCCCACTCCTGGCCGCGGCACAGCGGTATCCATTTGGACGCCGCTGCGCACCAGGACATTTTGAGCCAAAATGGCTACGGTGGAGGAGGAGGAGGAGGAGGAGGAGGAGGAGGAGGAGGAGGAGGAGAAGGGCAGGAGGAGGAGGAGGAGAGAGGAGGAGGGAGGAGGAGGAGGAGGAGGAGGAGGGCAGGAGGAGGAGGACGAGGAGGAGGGAGGAGGAGGAGGAAGAAGGATGATGATGATGAGGAGGAGGAGGAAGAGGAGGAGGGGGAGGAGGAGGAGGAGGAGGAGGAGGAGGAGGATGAGGAGGAGGAGGAGGAGGAGGAGGATTATGCTGGATTCTGCTGCGATGCCACGCATGTGGCTCCTCAATCACCAACCGCGGAGGAACACGAGCCTCCACGGCCGCTCAGGCCCTGCGCAGGAGGAACACGAGCTTCCGCAAGCGCGTCAGGCGCAGGAGGAACACGAGCCTCCGCGCCGAACCAGGAGTGCAGCAGGAGGGCACGAACCTCCGCGGCGCTCACGACGCGGCCGACTTTCCGGGCGGGAAGCCGAGCTTCACCAAGAGTGCCGTCCGCTCGTCCTCCTCGCTTCCTTGCGGTAACACCGTGCCAGCACCGCCGACGAACAGGCACAGCCGGCTGCGACAAAGCCACCCAGGCCGTGGCCGCGTGGGTGGCGCTCGACAGCAGCGGGCACCAGCGGCGCGCAGCAGCCGGAAGCCTGTCGGTGGGGAGGAGCGCTTGTGTGATCCCGAGCTCGTGAGGACATCATGCGGGTGCCTGGCGTCCGAGCCGACGCACGCCGAGCCCAAGCGGATAGGCCATGGTCTGTCACGGGCGGCGAACACATTCCTATCCACGCCCTCGCGGTCTGGATTCCAGGGCGCGACCCTACAAATACGCGGTCGCACGGGTACGTCCCGCGCGAGCCATTCGCGAAAACAACAACGCCTCGCGGCCCAGGGGCCCGGCCCGCGAGGCCGCACACGCGGATATGTATACCGGCCACGAGTCTGTGTCCACAGCCAGCAGGCTGCCGCCACCGAGGAGGAGGAGGAGGAGGAGGAGGAGGAGGAGGAGGAGGAGGAGGAGGAGGAGGAGGAGGAGGAGGAGGAGGAGGAGGAGGAGGAGGAGGAGGAGGAGGAGGAGGACGGAGGAGGACGGAACAGGAGGAAGAGGGAGGGAGGGGGAACTCGCAAGGATCGGGCAGCCCTTTCCCAACAGCCCCCCCCCCAAAAAAAAACGGGAGTCTCGAAAAGGCTCCCGCGAGGCCGCGCCCGAGGCCTCCGAGCGGCTCCCAAGGAGCCCCGCAGCGGAGGGGGCGAAGAGGACAACTCAGCAAGAAGAGCTCTACACGCAGGCGGCACGACGGGGAGCGACTTTCGGCCCCAGGGGGCCCTCGCCGGGCCCTGGGAGCGTCAACAAACGACTCAAGATGTGAAATCGGCCCCGGGGAAAGGTTCCAGACTTCCCGGGACGCCGTTCTGACGACATCAGGACGTCATGTCTGGGTTCTCTTCTCGGGATCGGGGGGGGACGGGGCAAGCTTCTCGAGTCCGCCCACCTACCGAGCTGAGGGGCGTTTGCTACTTTGCTGCGAGAGCTTCCTTTGACTTGCCATCGCTCGGATATCCGTTCCATCCGTTCCCGTTGTGTGTGTGCGTGTGCCTCCTGAGGCCCCGCCCGCCTGTGCTCTGTCTCCCCAATTAGTGATTTGCGCGGCCCGCCTAGCTCTTAACCAGAAGAGGCTCGCAATCGACCCGCAGACCCCCCCAAAAATGTGTGTGTGTGTGTGTGTGTGTGAGTGTGTGCGTGCGTGTGTGTGTGTGTGTGTGCGTGCGCGTGCGCGTGCGCGTGCGTGCGCGTGCGTGCATGTGTGTGTGTGTGCGTGTGTGTGTGTGTGTGTGTGTGTGCGTGTGCGTGTGCGTGTGCGTGTGCGTGTGCGTGTGCGTGTGCGCGTGCGCGTGCGCGTGCGCGTGCGTGCGTGCGTGCGTGCGTGGGTGTGTGTGTGTACGGTGTGTGTACGTGTGCGTGTGTGTGCGTGTGCGTGTGTGTGTGTGTGCGCTTGCGTGCGAGTGTGCGTGTGCGTGTGCGCGTGCGCGCCTGCGTGCGTGTGTGCGTATGCGTGTGCGTGCGTGCGTGCGTGCGTGCGTGCGTGCGTTCGCGTGGCGTGCTTGCCGTGCGTGCGTGCGGTGTGTGGGTGTGTGTGTGTGTTGTGTGTGTGCGTGGGTTGTGTCGTTGCGTGTGCGGTGTTTGTGCGCGTGCGCGTGCGCGTGCGCGTGCGTGCGTGCGTGCGTGCGTGGGGTGTGTGGTGTACGGTGTGTGGTACGTGTGAGTGTGTGTGCGTGTGCGTGGGGGTGTGTGTGCTTCGTGCGAGTGTGCGTGTGCGTGTGCGCGTGCGGCGGGCCTGCCGTTGCATGTGCGCGTGCGCGTGCGCGTGCGCGCGCGCGTGCGTGCGTGCTACGTGCGTGCGTGCGTGCGTGCGTACGTGCGTGCGTGCGTGCGTGCGTGCGTGCGTGCGTGCGTGCGTGCGTGCGTGCGTGTGTGTGTGTGTGTGTGTGTGTGTGTGTGTGTGTGTGTGTGTGTGTGTGTGTGTGTGTGTGTGTGTGTGCGTGCGTGTGTGTGTGTGTGTGCGTGTGCGTGTGTGTGTGTGTGTGTGTGTGTGTGTGTGTGTG